CTAATTGGAAAAGTGTATAAGTACGGCCAATGTGGTGTCTTAATCACCTCATTCTGCACATAAATGGGCATGCACTGATTGGGAAAGCTTGCACCACAGCCAATGGGTGCGTTAGCCGCCTTCCTCACTCATTGGCTGATTTCACCTGTCTGTTCACAATCCCTACACCTTAAACCTCTCTCCACAGATTTCACAACCAGTTCCCACTTCTTCCCCGCACCTCCGATAATTATTAGCATGATTGGCTACGCTACGGTGCGAAATAAGATTCACTATACATGCAAACCTTCTGTATATTTTGACCTGCTCCTACTTAACGTCTGTGGAAAAAGTGCTTCATAGCTCATCAGATTTCTCCAGGATAAATACACAGTCTGATACCCCAGCTAAAGTATCGCTTACCCCGTGAGGTGAAAGACCAAAGGGACCCAAGTCCTCGTGGCTACTTCCAATCCCCCCCACCCCCAATTGTAACATAAAGGTTATCGTGAAGGTGCTATGTTTCACAGGGAGTATAGTATGCCAGTCAGGGGGAAAAGTTGCTTTGAATTTTTCCCTAATTAAGAACATTTCAGGTATATTTTTCCCATTTGGACCGTGACCCCAGCATACACGGCCTACTCTTTTTGTTTGTCATAAGATCACGGGACCTTTATCATCCACCATGAAGCATATTTTGTATTTCAGACCGATGCTGCTCTATTAACCAGGGTGGCCGTGGGTCTTGAACCGCGCGCCTCTGCAACACAAACACTGCCTCTGCTCTCGCCGGCGTCGCTGCTGGGAGACGGCCCCCTAGTCTCTGCGCTTCAATAAAATACCTGCCGAGTATCGCTGGGGTGATACAATGCGCTACGCTTTCAACCGGTGGCATCATTATGTTTATTAATGCGCTTCGCTAACGGCTTTGTGTTAATGTCGTTTGATGTCAGGCGTGCGTTTTTGAGGCGCTAATTTCAAGAATGTAAGTACGAGCAGAATTGACCGCGATAATAGAGGAATGCGCCACACTTCATCTACACCACTTATGTTTTTTTAGGAGTTTTATTTACCATGTTTTATTCAAATTATACTTGAGTGGTCATGAAAAAAATATGTAAACTAGGCAGGGGCCCTTTCTCGAACGCCGTGTGCTATAGAGAAACGTTATTTGTAGGATAGCTAGGAATCAATTTATTCTAAAAGCTTGTGAATTTATCTTCTTGGTTCTTTCGGTAAAGTCACGTAGAAGGGAAGTAATAAAATAATAAAAAAAATAAAACGAAACGTCGTGAGAATTGTTTTATTATGTTTTATTTTTATTATTTTATTACTTCCCTTCTACGTGACTTTACCGAAAGAACCAAGAAGATGAATCCCTGCAGTCACGAAAGCTTTAAATCGAGATTTAACTTGTGAATTTAGTCCACGTAACTTTAAAACTACAGATGTACAATACTCACGTGGGGAGATTTGGTGCTTTCATCAGTGACCAAACTGCGACCACCAGCTCGCTTCGCTTGAGAAGTCGGTTTAATTACGGGAAGCTGAAAATCCGATTGGAAACTGAGGATGTCAGTGGTGCCAGTTCAGTGCCCTCAGCTCGAAGCCACACTCGTGCAGCTACCCCTACACATGCGCCTGTGCAATGTAGCAATAACAAACCTCCAACATATAAAATATGAAGAAAAAAAACGACAAAGCTACCCCACTGAGTTTCAAATGGAATTAAAACAGCTTTGGAGTTGCTGGTGCAGGACAGAATCGGAAGGGTGAGATGGAAATATGTGGTGGAATGAGACGTGAGAAGTGCGTGGAGAAATACAATCCGGAGCCATCGACCCCCAAGATGCAATGGTGACTTAGAAGAAGCCACGTGTTTTGGACCAGTCGAAGAATCGTTTTGCACAACTGGCATACGCGTGGCGATTATACCGAGCTCATCGTTCGCCACGTTGGTGTGTTGAGGAGTGGAATGGTGGCAATGGAGGCGGCATAGTGGTGAGTGCACTGCGTTTTGCCTGCCACGGCTAACATCAAGGGCGAGTTGTATATGAACCGCACCCCATTTGTTCAACCTGCATTGACCAACGTGGTGAAGTACGGTCTAACAACCCCCTACCGTGGCCTGGGGAAGTCGTTCAACAATGGATTGACAAAGGGCTGATAGCCACATTTTAAATGATTTGTTATTCATACAATATTCCTGCTAGACCTTGCATTGAAGAACAAGACACATCTGTGCACAAGCTATTCCGGTGAGCCTGAAAGGGATTTGTCCAAAGTAATCCATGGTGCATCTCGTTTTGGTGGCTCAGGTATCTGGAAACCTGTGAAAAAAGATATTTGTAGCGCATCAGATCCCTCCGGTATAAATACACTTTCTGATTCTGTATCAAAGCACGGTATGACGAGGACCTTCATCCAGCAGTGGATTGACAAAACATTGTGAATGATGACGATGATGTATTTTGACATGGCGACACCGAGAGGAACTCAGGCAGCGTGACGCCACCTGGTGACCAGAGCGGGACAATGCAGCTCTGAAGCAAAGGTCATCTGTACCGTATTCAAGTTGTATTCAACTCCTCTACCCTACTCGAATTGGATTCAACTCCTCTACCCTACTCGAGTTGTATTCAACTCCTGTACCCTATTCAAGTTGTATTCAATTCCTGTACCCTGTTCAAGTTGTATTCAACTCCTGTACCGTATTCAAGTTGTATTCAACTCCTCTACCCTACTCGAGTTGTATTCAACTCCTGTACCCTACTCGAGTTGGATTCAACTCCTGTACCCTATTCAAGTTGGATTCAACTCCTGTACCGTATTCAAGTTGTATTCAACTCCTGTACCCTACTCGAATTGGATTCAACTCCTGTACCCTATTCAAGTTGTATTCAACTCCTGTACCCTATTTAAGTTGGATTCAACTCCTGTACCGTATTCAAGTTGTATTCAACTCCTGTACCCTACTCGAGTTGTATTCAACTCCTGTACCCTATTCAAGTTGGATTCAACTCCTGTACCCTATTCGAGTTGTATTCAACTCCTGTACCCTACTCGAGTTGTATTCAACTCCTGTACCCTATTCAAGTTGTATTCAACTTCCCACTCTCGCCTTTTTTGACGGGCCCTCAACAAAGCGAAAGCCGGGAGGACGCTCTGTAATTCGGGTTTGCCTCGAAATTGAATGGAGGGGTGGGGGGGTCGCAAGACATCTGGACCACCCTGTCGACCAAACCTGGATATATCTCAGTCAGCTCTCGTGAAATTTAACACAATATTACCTGGTCGCCCAATCGGTGGACTCATCAAATCGTTTGTACACGTACAGTACTGGACTGTGTAGACAATTGTGAGTGGACTGCAGTCTTTAACACTGTGACTACATTACCAGAATCGTTCATTCGTCTCGTCATGGTCAGTCACGCCTTTGGGCTCTGGTGCGTTAGTGGCCGCAGTCATCATAACGCTTGATGATTGTTGTTTAAAAATGAAATAATTTCTTCCTGAATCATTTCGTCCCTTATTTTATTCACAAATGTAACACTTGCCCCTCGACTCAAGTGAGACATACGCCGTTTGCTCTTCTCTAATCGGCGGTGTCATTAAAAGTGAAGATAATACAATCGGACATGCGAGCAAATCGCCCGTCAGCTCTCAAGCCGCGTGACATATCTTCTCGCAAACATCTTTCATGATACGTAACTTGATTGTTGTCACGAGCCTGACAAAGGGGGACCTGAGGAAGGTTGTTTTAACATCTGGGTAAGAAGTCCGTTCAGCTGTGCCTCGGCATGCAAACAAATGAGTTCAGATCCCATGCCGAAGTGTGTCTGCCTACCCTTTGTGATTGGCTACGATCCACAAGTTCAGTGATACCGTCGCAGACTGATTGTTTGGCATTTGCAGCGTTCCCGGGCAACGTGACGAAAATGCCACACTCTCATGGCCAGTAGAGGACCACCGTGAATTTGATGACTTCTCAGATTTAAACAACACAGATGTTCTGTTTCACGTAGTGGTGGGCTGAGTCGAGTCAGGAAAATAAATAGAACATTTGCATCTTGTATTGTGCACGGGTAACAAAAAAACCTACGTACTGTATTCATAAATTTTACTTCGCAATATTTTTTTTACTCGAACAATAAAAGTCCTTCAGATTTGACTCAAAAAACATAAAGTACACGAATGAGAAATGCACCCAAAAAAACTGCGAAAAAAGAATCCCACTTTTCAAAATACAAGTTCTTTTTGTTAAAGATAGGACATGACCTTTTCCAGGAGAACACAGCAATGAGATGTCATCAATGAGCGTCTGGCTATATGTGAGTGAAAACAAGAGCAGCCAGAGAAAGCCCACCACCCACACAAGGGGACAAACATTCAACACCGCCATCGCCTGGCCACCCCTCGCAGTCCCATTCCTACAACACCTGGCAAGCCCCGATGGTAACCCATGCGAGCACTCACCAGGTTCAACACCGCTAAAATCACCTGGAATGCGCCCAAAACCCATTAGATCTCAAGAGCTAAGCCGGGTTGAGCCTGGATAGTGCTTGGATGGGCGACCACCAGACACCACACAGGTGTTGTAGGCTGTGGGGCTACGCGTGTGCAGCAAAGGGCGGTGTTAACAAAACGCATTTTTATTTATTTAAAGCTTTCGTGACTGCATGGATTCATATTCTTGGTTCTTTCGGTAAAGTCACGTAGAAGTGAAATAATAAAATAATATTAAAATAAAACAATAAAAATTCACAACTGATGATGATTGCTTGTGTTGCAGTCGAAACGTCGTGATAATTTTTTATTGTTTTATATGTATATTATTTTATTATTTCACTTCTACGTGACTTTACCGAAAGAACCAATAATATAAAACGCATTATTGTTACCGTACATGGTACCGCACGTGTCATGCGTACACGATGTAAGCTAAACAATCTTTGTCGTAATTTTTTTTGTGCGCGTGCCGTGTGTGACCCCCGGCAACCTCCCCCCCCAACTGTTCGCAGCTACACGAAGATGAAGACGGCCACAAACATCTACATTTTTAACCTGGCGCTGGCCGACGCTCTGGCGACGAGCACGCTGCCGTTCCAGAGCGCCGACTACATGCTGGGCAGGTGGCCATTCGGGCCCGTCCTCTGCAAGGTGGTGATGTCCATCGACTACTACAACATGTTCACCAGCATCTTCACGCTCACCATGATGAGCGTCGACCGCTACATCGCTGTGTGCCACCCGGTCAAGGCCCTCGACTTCCGCACGCCCACCAAGGCCAAGTTGATCAACGTCGCCATCTGGCTGCTCTCCTCCATCATCGGCGTTCCCATCATGATTATGGGCACCATCAAGCCTGACCAATTTGGTGAGGCCTGTTTTGGGGGATGGGGACGTGGGGGTTGGGGGGGGGGCAGGGATTAGAGGCTTGTGGGTCTGGGACTGGGGATCAGAAGACTAAGAGGTGGCGACCACGAATCTGCGCACCAGGGGATGGAAACTAGATAAGTGGGACATCTTTACTGTATATGCTGGAGACCAAGGTAAGTGACACGAGGCTGTGTAATGGGAAATTTGGGTTCCAGGGATCGGAGAGAAAATAGCAGGTTTACTAGAGGCCAAGGACTTAACGATGGTGACCATGAAACGGAGGCTATGGATCATGAACTAGAAGCCGGTGACCAGACACAAGGGACAGGAGATCAGGGACCAAGTGATCAGTTGGACCAAGGACTGAAGTACTGTGACCCCGGGGTTGGAGACCAAGGACTAGAGACCGGGGATGAAAGATCGTGAACCAAACATCAGGCACGATAAGTTAGAGGCAAGGGATCGGATACCAAGCGTTGGAGTGCTGGGCATCCCGAGTTCTTTATTGCTCAATCGCCTCACGTGATATTGGTGAAATTCACTTTACAAAGGCAGGGTGGTAAAAGTCCAAATGGCTTTTTGTGGCTTAACACCAGGAGTACAAAACATTGGCCCCGTATTAAGCGAGGGAAACAAACAGGCACGGGCCTAATCACGCTTTTAACAGACATTCCATCCATGGTCTGATCAGTCGCCTCGCTACATTACAGAAGGCGTCCATTCAAACAACATTTGTAGCACCGTGCACCGAGCAGGCTGCGTATTAATTTCAAGGGACATGCAAACAATAGGGCGATTGGCATTCAATTAAGCTGCAATTAAGCTTAACGATGCTAACTCCTTGTGTATCCTTGAAAGCATCAATACGACTCACAAATATGTTTTTCTTTTTTGGGCGCGACGTTCGACGTTTCGCTCCATGCGTTTGGAGCTTCTTCAGGAACCGAACGGCACAGCTCAACGTTCAGAATGAGCTGCACTTGAAACATTTAATGCGATTACAGGTGTTTACATTCAGGGCACAACTGTAGTAATAAAAACAACAACAACAACGCAAAATCGAAACACCACGAAGCAGCAGTGGCTCTTAATGAACAGAGTAATTCAACTGGCACAGATAATTAATGTTCGTTTTTTAAAAGCTCGGATATTTCTCCTTTATCTTATTTTAAGTTAGAAGTAAATTTTTATATTCTTTGGGTTTTTCGGTAAAGCCACGTAGATAAAAAAATAATAATAAAATATCACGACGTTTCTATCGCAACACAAGCAATAGTCAGCAGGTGAAAACAATTATAGCAGGAGAGCTGCTGAAGCAATATGTTACATAGGTTTGAGATGGTTTTAGCCCAAGGGTAAGTGGGCAGGGCTAGAGATGGGATTTGCATGTAAATGTAAGATCGGAGAGCTGATATACCTCCACGACGACGCAGCTGTGGAGGTGACCATTGTATTGTGAGAGATTAGCATGTCACTGTAAGCGAACCACCGCAACGGTGGCTGTGCTTGTGAGACATCCAGCTCGTTAAAAACGAGGGACAGCGCCAACTCGAGGACAAGGAGCAACGGTGGCTGTCTTAGTGAGACATTTAACCTGGTAATGTAACTCAGAGAGTCGGAAATAACTGCTAACATCGGCAGGTAAGATGGAAACATCACAGCCAGTTATGACTTAAACTGGTTGATAACGATCTTGTCACCGTCTAACTTTTTAAAGTGTGGATCTGGCGTCTTATTGGAAAGGAGGTTGAACTTGGAAATCAGGTTATCTTTGCATTTAGCTTTTTGTACCTTTTGCTCTGAGGGCAGTGGATTTCCAATGTTTGGATGCTCCTCCAGAAGCTGTACAATGCACGTGTACAGCTCTGATGTCAATACACTGCTCGATGAGGGCCTACCGAAGCCATTCGTGTCACAGGAGTCCTTTGATCAATCTTCGCCACGCTGGTCAGTGCGGGTCGTTGAATGTGAACAGCATAGATGTGAGTATAGAGTACCGTACAACAATGGATTTTTTCTGCACTGTTCTCTGCCAGAGCAGCCTATTGTTTTCACAGTGGTTGTGCATCCCAGCACTATGTAGGCTCGATCCGAAGCTTAGCAGACGAGATCTGACGAGGTCGGGCGCAATCCACGTAATTGCGTCAGTTGGCACTTAACACAAACGACTGGCATAGCGTGCGGGACAAATGTTTACACCTGGGGGTGTGAACGGGTCCCTTTCTCGTGCAGGCTACATGGAGTGCCTGGTGGTGTTCCCGCCGCCGTCCTGGTTCTGGGAAACCCTGCTGAAGATCTGCGTGTTCATCTTCGCCTTCATCATGCCCGTCGTGATCATCACCATCTGCTACGGCCTCATGATTCTGCGCTTGCGTACCGTGCGCCTCTTCTCGGGCTCCAAGGAGAAGGACCGCAACCTCCGGCGCATCACGCGCATGGTCCTGGTGAGAACTCGGTCAAGCGTTCACAATGACAAAGATGCCCCCCCCCCCCGTGTAGTCTCATCAGACCATTTGGGCAAGTACAGTTAGCGAGCGCGCGTAAAGGCTGGCACGGCACGCCAGGAGGTGGGTGGCCAGCACCACGCCCGGCCGTCTTTATCTCCCGAGTGGTGATGCTTACACATTGCACGAGGTGCTCATTTGAGGCTGAGTTGACCTCGATGAGGCCCACCATAATCATCACTGGTGTTGGACGTGAGTGGGAATCGAACCCGAGTCGCAGCGTGTAAGCCTCTGCACTACTGATGCCCACAACAACACACACGTCATGACCCACACTCACACACATGTACACACACACGCACACGTGCACAGTGGTTAAACCCCCAAAAATGCATTAAATGCGATCGGAGTAGTTGGCGTGGAGTGAAGTTTGCAATATTATTGCCTTGTTGGGAACAACTTTATTTTGGCTTAGAGAGTAAAAACATTTGCAATGCACGCGGAGTCGACACAGTGGCACTGCGTGGTTGGCATGGGCCCCGGTGCGAGGAATGAAATGGAGCCCACGCCCTGTCCAATGTCTCCCCCTTCATTACCCGGAGCCTTGGCCCCTTCAGCCCATGGGCCCCAGTGCAGTTGCACTGCCTGCACACTCCATCACCTACACCACTGAGTACACACTGATAATGCCAGCGTGGACATTTGAATCCCAATGTCATCCCGATTATGGTATTGGCGTCACACCGCCGGACAAAGCATCCGTTCAGCTCTATCGTAGAGCAGTGCAACCCTTGGGGGGGGGAATCTTTATTTTTATCCCAAAACAAATGTAGTAAGTGCCCTGCACTTTTCCGCACCGTGGCCGCAGGTGGTGGTGGCGGTCTTCATCGTGTGCTGGACGCCCATCCACCTGTTCGTCATCGCCAAGGCGCTCATGACCATCCAGGAGACACCGTTCGTGGCGGCCGCGTGGTACTCGTGCGTGGCGCTCGGCTACACCAACAGCTGCCTCAACCCCGTGCTCTACGCCTTCCTGGACGAGAACTTCAAGCGCTGCTTCAAGGAGTTCTGCTTCCCAGCCGGCGGCGGCGGCGGGGGCAGCGGCGGTGGCAGCGGCGGGCGCCGCGACCGCGCCACGTCGTCCTCGTACCACCGCGCGGCGCGCGCCGGCGGCCACAACAACAACCACGCCGGGGGGGGCAGCGGTGGCAGCAGCGGCGGCGGCGTCGGATTCTGCGGAGCGGTCACCCAGGCGGGGCTGCTCTCGCCGACGCTCTTCGCCGAGCAGACCACCGCCGTCACCGGCATGGAGCGCACGTCGTCGCACCCGCCCGCATGACTAGACGTGGAGCTGTCGCCGTTGTCCTCGCCGCCGCCGGGGATGAGGGACGACGCCACGTCCTAGCTGAGGCTCACCACGGGGCTCGGACGAAGGCTGCCTCCTTCTCTCTAAACCGCTGAGATCACCACGACCACCCCCGCCGTGGCTATTTGCTATTTTCCCCCAACGCGCGCCCCCCCACTCCCCTACATTTTCACGTCCCACACCCACCATAGCCCGTGGTGGTGGCGGTGGTGGTTGAAGTGCGGCGTGATCTCGCCTGACCTTGAGGAAGGGAAGCTTCGAGTGAAGGCGGCTGCAAGAAGGTTTTGTGTGCAAAGAGGGTATCAGCGTCGCTCGCGAAAGATGGGTCCTTACGAGGGTGCAGACGGTGGGCGCTGCTTTTGAGGTTTACAGCGCGGCTCTGCCGGTGGAGTGCTACTGGAGAGAGCGCGAGACCGCCAGAGCCCCCCCCCCCCCCCCCCCCCCATTGTGCTTGTGATTTTATGCAAAAGAAACTTAAGCAAATTTCACACGCACACATCAAGAGAACTTGTGCAAGGCAAGAGATACAAAGACGGGTGCACTCCATTTAGGTTGTGTTTATCCACGAGGGAATGTATTTGAATTTGACGTCTAATTTCATTGTAGATGATGGTAGGAATCAGACGTGTTCATTGGACAGATGCTTGTTTTAAATGAAGGTTTCCATCTTGCGCTTGCAACAAAATACAACTGGAATATTGTAGATATTAACATTTTAACCTAACGTTATTTACTGTAAATATATTTAAAACAATTGTCCCAGGAGGCTTCGTGAAATGGTTACACGATTGTTAATACTGATCGATTCTGCAGGCTATGGCATGCAGGAATTTATTTCTGTTAAGAGTCAGTTTTAACAACAAGCTGTGTGCTCACATTCTGATAATCGGATCGCATCTGTATCATAATACTTTGCACTTTCCATGCTGACAGAACTGTCAGTTTTAGTTGCTGAGTGGACCAGGATAAAAGATGAAAGAAATCAAAATATTCTCTATTTGCAAAAATTGTTTGAATTTGCATCGTGTTTATACAAGGCCGAGCAAATGATTGCTGTCACCAAGCTGAAAAAACTGTATATACCTGTTACGATCAGATAGTTTCGTGAACATATAAAATATTCACATTGAAAAAATATATTTAAAGCAGTTATATTTTGCAAGTGTGTACCAGTGGCAGAAATACCAAGTTGTTTATTTTGTAATATTTATGTACATTTATGACAAAGTTAGTGGATAGATAGATAAATAAAAAAAACAACAACAACAACAAACATACCAGCAGTTTTTTTTTAATAAGACTTAGTGCTGGGTTCCCAAAAAAAAAGAAACACATGGTGCAATAACATTTATTTTCAACTGTGGGATAGCGACGTGAAATATTTTCCTCGTCGTCTTTCCGATGACGAGCTCGTATTCGACACTTGGTTTTGAAAGCGTGTCTCCAATCACATTGCGCAGGCGGAGATGAGACGGACGCACGTGGAGGGACGACAACGCCGCTCCCACGTCGCTCGCCCTTAAACCGCACACTCGCAAAGTGTCAACGGGGCAAAACGTGTTTTTTTTAAACGACATTTTAAAGTAGCCGCGATACAAGTGCTGTTGCAGAACAGAGGCTCGATCGGAGAAAGGTGAAGAGGGGGGGGGACGCTTGAGCCCTCGAAAAAAAACTTAGCGCGCAGAAGCAGCAGCAGCAGCAAAAGAAAACCCCAACTCGTCGCAACGTCGACGCCGCTCATGTACATCACGTGTTTTATCTTTCTGTGGAGAACGGCAACCCCCCCCCCGCCCCTACAAGTTGGAAGTGTGAAGAGCTACCACCACATTCATTTCCAAGTTTGTACAGCTTTAGTCTGGGGGTTCTTTGCCCCCCCACCCCCATCCCCCTGCCCTTAGGGCACAAGCCTAGTTTTTGTTGCCCTTCTCCAGCACCTCCGATTAGCCACGGTTGGCTACGTACGGTGCGAAAGAAGTTCAACACACACACACGCGGAACATACAATCCGAAACGTTGGGGAGCGTTTTCCACCCGGCGAATCGCAAGGCACACACACAGACACCCGGTAGACGACGCAACGCACACACACACACACCAGACGGACGACGCAACGCACACACACACTTGGCGGACGACGCAACGTACACACACACCCGGCAGACGACGCAACACACACACACACCTTTCGGACGACGCGCTGTCTGTGAGCGTACCGCGTCGCTGCCAACTCACTGCCCGCCTGTGCGCGCACGTCATTCGCGGCTCCTGCCAATAAATGATATTGACCAACAAAAAATGTCACAACAAGAAAGAAACCTCAACACAGACCAATGCTTCGGTGAAGTCGGAATCGCCTCCGCAGTTCGCTGGCTGTGGCGGAGAGCGCCCGTGCAGCAGCCCTGCTTGCGACTCACTCGCGCAACACTTGATGAGACTTGAGGTTTCTGAGCGATCTGGGGTTTTTGTTGCGGATTAAGTGGCTCGCTGCAAGATTCTCTCTCCCTTCCCTCTCTCCCTCTCTCTGGGAGAGCTTTCGACGGGGAGGGTCGGGGTCAGGCCCCCATCGGAGGGAGGTCACGATATGGGACGGGGGGATGGCTCTGCAAAAAAACGCAGGCTGTGTATGTGTTCGTTGTTGAAAAACTAACATATATATACGTACGTACGCATATATAACATACATTTTAATATATTAGTATGGAAACGTGTGTACAGTTGTTGTAGTGGATGTGTTGCTCTTTCAAGGTGGATAATTACTGTGTCATACTGGACTGCAGTCATCTTAAAACCATGCTCGCGTGTGCTAAGGTGTGAACGTGCCCACGGGCAGTGATTCCCGGTGACAAGAACAACATCGACAAAGTACCGAATTATAATAACCCATTAAAGATATTAGAGAGGATACCTTAATACTGGTACATTCCTGTGAACATCCCAATCTCAATATCAACATATTCTTGAGATAAAAAACATTAACAAAGCACTCAATTAAATGATGAATACTGACACGCGAAACGCCCTTTTTTAAACCTTCATTTGAGTTACATTATTTCTCAAACATCAGAATTTAAGATATCCGTGTGATACGTCCAACATTGCACAGGTTTCATATGTGGTATCAATATATTACAAGTGCGAATGTATTTAAAAAAAAAATCTGAAAGCAAGTAGTCCGAACGTTTATTCCTAAACACTGGATGTGTCCACTGCTTATGACGATTTAAGTGCTGTAGTCTTTTACCAGCTTTTGTGAGTTTTGGTGTAATTTTTGCGAATGCCACAGACGAGCCGTGCTTTAATAAGTGACACTGCACGTTTAAAGCCACACTCTGCTCAGTGGTTTCAAATATCCTCGTTTTAGCAGCTGTCAATAGCTCGGTAACAGTGGTGCAGGAATACTTCGCCTACCCATGCACTCACGTCAAGGTGTCACGTTATAATCCAAAATGCCACGCATCTGACGGGCATGTTCTATTCCCGCTAGCGATTCGATTAAAATGTCACAAATTGAGATGATTCGATTCAGCAATCCATTTTTTCCCGTCTAGTTTATACCACCTCGTTTGTTTTGTTTCATGTTTTTTGTTGTGTCGTTGGCCCAGTTTTGTTGTCAACATCAGCCTAAATGTCACACTGTGATCTAATTAGATATAATACTATCGATCACGATGCATTTGACTCATGCCTCGTGAGCTTAAATGTGCATTTCAATGGACGAATCAACGCTTCATTTCTCGCCAAGTCGAGAAAAGTCCATCCGTACGACGAGGGGTGATGAAAAAGTCTGTGGCCTGACATAAAAGTTCGTATAGGAGTGTTCGTACAAGAGTGTGAACACGTTCCCGAATGCCGTAGCAGTAGACTACCGATGTCGATTAAACAGACGGTTGGACCATTGGAACCTCCTTTGCCAGTAGCAAAATATGATAATTGTTTTTTTACCCTTTTATCTGGCAACAAAACTGCATTCCGACTGCAGGTATTGTGGTCAATGCAAACATGACTCCTTGTAAAAAAGGTGTCAGTTTTGTTGCCAGATAGAAGGGTAAAAAACAATTATCAGACGTTTGGAATCACGTTTATTATTGCGATGTTAAGTTCATGAAAAATTAAGGCGTGAAAAGTAAATCGAAATAAATACGGAGAAAATTTAGTAGAGCGGGCAAACAACATGTATTGTATTCACAGGAGCTGGCTCTGGTTGATTTTCACCGGTCTGAACCGCTAGAGAATCACTAAAAAGATTATATATTACGTAGTGATAGTGATGGGGTGCTTTGAGGTGCCAGGCAAAGTGATCTTCCGGTTGTAACTTTGATTGGAGCGAGTGTACTGCACTTCTCTGCGGACTACGTAGAAAAATAACAGCCTCATCAAGGTCACCCATTACGTGATATGTCAGGCAGTGGACTTTTCGGTCACCCCTTTGTAAGTTAACGTGAATCCGAACCCGCTCGAGACGTGATCAATGTTCACATTTATCGTGATGGTGTCCTTGTTAGAATGCTTGGCACACACACACCTTGGCTATTGGAAGTATGGCAAGCAGAAATGATTTGATTGATTCTAGATTTGAAGCTTTCGTGACTGCAAGGATTCATATTCTTTGTTTTTTTTCGGGAAAGTCACGTAGGTACCACAACCACAACCATGATGTGGTTGTCCCCACCTGATGACGGACGCTTGTGTTGCGCCCGAAACGTCGTGATTTATTTTAGTTGTTTTCATTTATTTTATTAGATTTTTTACCTACGTAACTTTACCGAAAAAAAACAAAGAAAATTATTTGATTGCTATGATTTATGGTGGTAATTTATTATTGTGTCGGTTTATACTGTCTCGTTGTGTTCTTTTTTTGTTTAGTTCACTCCGTTAGCCTGAATATAACATCACCACACAATTTATATTTAAAATGCACGCATGCCAATCAATCTTTTCTCATACGCACGATTCGTGACATGTATCGTGAGTGCAAGAATCTATGGAGCGTTGCGTCGTTGGATGCGCAATAACAGTAGCACAGCTCAGAGGTGAACATGTTGAAATCGCAATTCAAGGGCTGCCTTGGCAGTGACATAAAAGCGCACACTGGAAATACTTTACCACGATCGTGAAGTGCTCAAGTACTTTAAGTCTGAAAAAAAATGTACCTCGATATGGATGTCTCAATACGAGTGAAGTTTCTTGCTTTTAGAATTCAGCTGCGACCATTCAATTGGAAAAGTGGTCAGTCTCGCTTCGCTTGGGCGTCCAGAATCACACACGCACGCGCGCGCGCCTCTTTTTCACCACTTCATCTGAGCTGCGCCAGTATCGGGGCCCTCGTGGTACGCACGGGTGATGTTCCACTGGCTATTTGCTGAGCCGAGCCACAACCAAACTAGATTTGAAGTTTTCGTGACTGCAGGGATCCATACTCTTTGGTTCTTTCGGTAAAGTCACGTGTCTTTACCGAAAGAACCAATGAGTATGCATAACCAAACTGTGAAACCCTGGCCTCGCAACACGTCCAAACCTGACTTGAGGTCAACTAGAGACAGGGGCGATTTTAATGATGTTCGTGACATCGGTGGCAGGGGTCGGGTTCTGCAGTAGAAAAATACAACTAATTGATGCCACCTATGGGCTGGCTTGGCACGGGCCCTGCCATGGCTCGGTTGTGCAGTGGAAAAGAGCCGACAGTCGTTCGCATTTGTGTGTGGTGATGTGGACTTTAAACTTAAACCCTGCAACTGTCGTTCGCAGCATAGCGCTTTCAGTAGCATAAACGCCGTCTGCAGTGTCGAGTCTAAGCGCCAGGCATCTTGGCTCGTGTTTGATGCCATTAAAAAATCGTCACGGCCGCGCAAACCATTTATGCATCCCGCAAACAAATTAAACTACCTTTTCAAAATGCTGTACTTTTGACTGTGAACTTTGGGTTTGTACATTAAATTTGAACTGCAAAAAAATATTTAACAAAAAATCTGAAATATGATTAATATACATTATGTACAGCTGCGAGTAGTCAGTATGTTTTGAGAATAAAACATTTGCGGTAAGTTTCACCAGTATATCGTTGAGATGCTTTAAACCACATTTTTGTGTACGTACATAATATGACACAACATTGTTATATATTATTGGTGGCTATTGAAATTAAAAGGAGTCAGTGCATACGTATACTGTAGTGCATATTGAGTTTTCAAAGCCTTTGGACGACTAATGTGATACGGTACAGACAAGCGCGTGCGTTTGCAGCAGATGCACGCACACAATCAGCGTCCATCTCACAACTGTGGTCATTATATTTTCTGCAAAGGATCCTTAGTTTGCGAATAGATTTAGAAAAAAATATATACGACAGCTTGAAACATCTTCGTCATTTATGGACTTATACAGGCACGTTGTTGTGTTCAGTGTTTTGAGCTTTCGGTGTTTAAACAAAAAAAAGTATTCGCAGTTTTGATATTATTAGTATTCATGACCGTGGGATGTGTGGTAGACTGCAAAATGTGTTCTCGATGGCTCAGTTACAGGGGCGGCCAAACCCGTGGCTTTCGCGAGCCGCATCCGACACCCTGCCAAAGAATGATTGAGCCACGCGCAGCTTGTCTGCAACTTTTCGACATGCAGTTATCCAGTGAGCGAACGTGGGGGGTGGGGGTGGCCCGAGACACTATGGAAACAGACACGAGTACTTAACGCAAATGTCTAAATTAAAACAAACTCCAAGGCCAAACGGCGCGAGCGAACGAGCGAATCTTCCGACCGCAACCGCTCCACCAATCCCACCCCCCGGGTGTTACCGTCTTGTGGCGTCTGGGGCGAATGGGACGATTGCGGTACGCGGTCTGCAAAGGTCAGAACATTTGGCCACCCCTGGCTCTGTCATTTGGTTGCACCGAAACTGTGTCCGCAAGTGGTCAAAAAACAGCTGCTGCGTTATCGCCGCTTCGAAATCCATCGACGCCTGTGTAAATGTACGCGAGTTTGCTTGGGGAATCGGATGAATGTCATGGAACGTATTTTTAATCCTGCATTTGTACTGCTGCTACTCTGACACACGTCACGTGATCCCGCACGCCGTTGCCTCGGGGGTCGCCACACGGTGGAACTTGTGGCAGTGAAGGGAACGAGTTGTGGTTTTGCTGCAGTGTAACAAAAACAAGTGTGTACGTGTGTGCTTTTGTTTAAAGAACAGCAAATATCACAGATAACACAGTGCAGCGGAACTACATGGCTGGCGAGAATGTAACAAACAACAACTCACGTAAGAAATAGCCGTTTGCACAATTAATGTCCCCGCAGTGCAGAGAACATAAATATTGTTGAAGACGCTGACAGATGTATGGCGTTGATCGTGTTGTGAAGATTTAACAGACACACACATTGCTCGTCTAATCTCCGACAGTGGTGTTCCAATATTTGAAGACTCTATGTCAAATGTAAGAAGTGCAATTGTTTGCAGCAGGAACCTCATAAGGCAAAAAGCATGTCCAGGTGCTGGCATGCCCGCAAGGTGCTGAATCTAAACCAACATTTAGCCTGACAAGTTTAAGTGGGGCGAGAAAGAAGCAAATCGGTGTGTGCGCTCGTTGAGGGAGTACAATGGAGCACACACACACGAACGATGGGATACTACGAGGCCTCGGAGTTGCTCATGCTCATATTGGTTCTCGTCTGAACTGCTCTCCGATGCTTTTGTCAGGAGCAGCGGAACGTGGCGATGGACGCACGCGAATTGATTCTGCCACCAGGTGTAACCAAATGCCCAGCGGGGTTGTCCAAAACCAACTTTTTGGATGAATTTGAATAAAATTTCACCTGGCGAGGGGGAACTTCTCATTCAGTTTACATTTACAATGGTTTACATGCAAGGGCCGGTGGAAACGGAATGTAATTTGTGATTGGAGAGGTGGAAACTACTGTCGGGTCCTTTTTTGTGTGAAAACTCCTCACATTTGGATGGCAAGTGCAGTTCAGTTAGCCGTGGGTGCAGAGGTTTTGTTGTGGTACAAAAGCTTTGCAGATAACTTTGGCGCTTCACGTGCAGTGTTACTGTGGGTAGGAAGATATGGCCATTCGATTGCTGCAGTGTAAGAAGCCAGCGCCATCAAAACCATTTTGCCTTTTCGTTACCGTGGCACAACTTTGCTTTGCGCTTATAGATCCACCTCTTTGAAGCCCCGCTCACGTTAACGTTAATGGGTCACTTGGCTCCAAGTGTAAGGCAAAACATTTTGAAAATGGAAAAAATAAAACAATTATTATTTGCACCCAACGTTTTCAATATCAGTTGTTTAGCAAAAATACAAGGACGTTTGTTAGCAACAATCTTTGTTTCAGTGTATCTGTGTGTGTGTTGGCAGTCAAACTAATAATGGCCACAATTCTGATATGAATAAATCCTGACACAAAATACGGATATTACTATGAATTCAAGGTAATTTTTCTTTCAAGCAGTGTACATTTACAATGATTTGTAATTGCTGAATAAAACCAGTTGGATAAAATGTCAAGATCTTTCCTCTACCACTGACAGTTAAATAGTAATGTTTTCCTATATTATTAATACGAGCATAATCTGAATCTAGTTCGTTGTCTAATACTACCTTGTATTTTTGCTTTCTAAAACTACAGTTATGTTCTAAAATGAACATTCAATACAACTCTTAAAAATGCCTCATTGGACATAGCTATCCACAATTTAAACAGCTTTGAAAATAGCTACACTTGGAATGCTTGGAGTGCGCATTATAGTCTGGTCATTTGAGTTAATTAGTGACTATGCAGTACTTGCATTGTAGCTAGGTCTGTGTAGTTTGCTGTAAAGTGGCGTGACCGTGTCTCTCTATTGTACTATTATACTGTATTGAAGCCTTCAAACGCTACGCGTGACATACATATGTGCCTACTGTGTTTCAACTCATCATGCACTCGGGTTCGTCTTTGAATAAATGTTTCAATGGGAATGTCTTTGCCCCACGTTTTGTTATTCGTGTCGTCGGTGGTAATGGGTTATTACACTGTGTAACAATTTGTTTTTGTTCCTGGGTATTTCCTAATTGATTATGCCTCAAAAGTACAGAAAATAGCTATTATTCCCCACAAACTTTGCTTTTGTAACCAGGACAGTGATATTTAGAAATGTACCTATTTTCCAGAACATTTCAAATAGATTCAGTGCTGAATCAAGTTCAAGTTTCAACTTGGAGTAACTTCTAGAACATTCTATAACTTTCCAGTCATATAAATAGCAGTATAAATACAGGGGCCTTAAACCAGAGGTCGCAAACGGGTTTTGATTCCTTACCCGTACCCGGCCGCACCAGGGTCGCAAACGGGTACCCGTACCCTACCTGATACCTGGCTACCCGTACCCGGCCGGGTATCGTGTAGGGTATGGGGACGGGTACCCGATTGCGACCTCTGGGATGAAGCCATGTTGCAGGCGCGGGTGGGTTGATTCTAGGAATTTGAATTGTGAGAAGAGACAAGACGTTGGGAAATGAGTGACAAATGGTTACTCACCAGTGACTCACGGCTTACCCGTACCCATACCCGGCCGCACCAGGGTCGCAAACGGGTACCCGTACCCGGCCGGGTACAAAGCATATTTCGGCATGACTGTTGGGGATCAAGACAAACCCTGGGAACCTCATTTCACCAGCGAGCAAAGCAAAACAACTCTGGAAGATAAGATGAAAAATTGTTGCTTGGAATTTTATGTTATAAAATTTGTAAAAATAAAAATTTGTAAAAGTTTTTAATTTTTAAATATTTTACAATTTTCAATGTTATTGAAAAAATATATCATATATAAAAAATGTTGTGAGAATCTCTTACACATTAGTCATGGGTGAAGTAAATGTGTTTTTGTAGGATGGTACAGAGGGGAAAAGAGAGCCATGAAGTTCCATATCCCAAGAATTTGGCGGGAACCCACTGACCACTCAAGCAGCTGCTACTTCTGCATGGTGGACCCTTCCAAACGTCGGACTGCCAAGAATGCACCTACTATCACGTATCCAGACCTTCCTTCATCCATCGCCCCGGTGCCACACTGCCATGAGCTCCCCGTACCCACTCCTCCAGAGAGAGAGCAGCCGTCTTTAGAAGAGAGCAGCAAGTCAGAGAGCGAGGAAGACGTAGTAGATCCAGATGACAATTTCAGAGGTGGAAGCTGAGGAGAGAAACCCATACTACCCCAACCAAAAAGATCTCAACGACTTGATCAGAGATCTTGGTCTCACCAAGTCCAATGCCGAGTTTTTGACGTTGAGGCTCAAGCAGTGGAACTTGTTGGATGAAAGTGTGCAAGTCGCAGATCAGAGGAAGCGTCACCAACCTTTTTGCAGCTTCTTCACCCGTCAAGATGGGCTCTGCTTCTGCCACAATGATGACCAGTCTGTTCGAGGCAATCGGAATCGCCTGTAACCAGAATGAGTGGCGCCTCTTCATTGACAGCTCATCCAGGAGCCCCAAAGCCGTGCTGCTCCATAATGGTAACAAGTACCCGTCTCTTCCCCTGGCTCACTCGGTGCACCTCAAAGAGAATTACAACAGCATCAAGACCTTGCTGGACGCCTTGAGGTATGATGAGTACAGCTGGGATGTCATCGGAAATTTCAAAATGTTGGCATTCCTGATGGGTTTCTAAGGCGGTTTTACCAAGTTTCCCTGCTATCTTTGCCTTTGGGACAGCAGGGATACCAAGGCGCACTACCATAGGCGGGACTGGTTACAGCAGACCGAGTTCTCTGTGGGGAGGAAAAACGTCAAGTGGGAGCCACTGGTGGACCCCCGGAAGGTGCTGATGCCACCACCGCAAATCAAACTTGGCCAAAATAAACAATTTGTCAGAGCTGTAGATAATGAGTGGGCAGCCTTCAAATACCTTCAAGACTTCTTCCCTAAGCTGTCTGAGGCAAAGGTCAAAGCCGGTGTCTTCGTTGGACCACAGATAAAGAAGATCCTTGGAGTGCAATTAATTCCCCAAGAAGCTCACTAGTAAGAAAAAAGTGGATTGGAACAGCTTTGTTGCAGTGGTTCGCAGCTTCCTAAGCAATCACAAGGTCGAAAACTACGTGGAGCTGGTTGAGACTCTTGATCCTCATCTTGATAGATTCAAGGAGAACATGGGAGCATACTCGGAGGAGCAAGGTGAGCGCTTCCACCAGGATATACTGGACTTTGAACGCCGCTACCAAGGACAGTAGAACGAGAACGTGATGAGAGACTACATTTGGGGGCTGATTCGTGAAAGTCATTTACAGTATAATCGTAAATCTCGAAAAACTACTCACTTCAAAATATTTTGTAGTCATTTTTGTATTACTTCAGTATAAATACATGTTCATTTTGATTCATATGTTGTATTTTCTGACTTTATGTGAACGAAAAGACACAAATTCGCCCGTATTCACATTGAAAATCGGTATATTTCAAAATATCACTGTCCTGGTCACAAGAGCCGAATGGCTCACAGGGCTATACCTAATAAATTAACTTGAACTTGAAAAGCAAAGTTTGTGGGGAATAATTGCCATTTTCTGTACTTTTTAGGCATAAGCAATTACGAAATAACACTTACTACTCAGGAACAAAAATTGTGTTACTTAGTGTTATTCATAATAATGGGTTATTATTGCAATGATTCTAGATTTGAAGCTTTCGAGACTGCAAGGATTCATACTCTAAGGTTTTTTCGGTAAAGTCACGTGGGTAACTACGTGACTTTACCGCAAAACCCCAAGAGTATTATTACAATGGGTTATTAATTTTAAAATGTATTCGTATAAAATGTACGCCGCGTACATTTATCGCGAGCAACGATGATGGTCGATCGTGCTGTTATTTGACAAAACAATGCAGATGTCGCACGCTTGAACGGCGCCCCAGAACACGGTGGTGGCTTTCTGTTGTTCCCAGGGACGCGCCGCGTCACCGCTAAGTGGATGCGCACAAAGGGGCAATAAGTTCGCGGTGTCCTCTACCGGGGCTGAAGCAAAAGCCGCCGTGACACGACGGCGGCGGCGGCGGCGGCGGCGGCGATGAGGGCTTCCTCGCAGAGCGTGTGCCTCGAACGCCGAGCCGCAGCCCCCCCCAATCGGTGTGTCTTTGGGACACTTTCTGTTCTTGTTTGCAGTATCCAAAATGATGAAAAATAAGAATGATGTTTTTACCCTTTCTGGCAATAGAACAGGTGTTAAAATGTTCAAACACCAAATAGATACCTTTTTTTTGAAGGCAACAAGTCTGCATTGGCCACACAGACAAAAACATGCAAACAGACATGCTCAGGCGTCAATATTCAAACGATGTACTGGACTCGTAATTGTCAATCCACCGCTGGATAAGGTCTTGGAGGCTTATTTGGCCACACTCCACCGAGCTGCTCAGTGCGAGTGGGTCAAGGCCCAGCGGCAGCAAAAGATATCTGATGAGCATCGAAGGGCAGCGCAATGGATAAGATGCTGCTCCACTGCCCTCTGTTCCCCCATCGCTGGAGTTACTGCAGAAAGCCTACGGAACGCTTGTTGGTTTCCCACTCAAGCACCGCGCACGCTTAACCCTTGCTCTCAGCTTCTCCGATCTGATCGGGACGTTGGGCGCGTGAATTGCTCGTGGACATTTAAATCACATCTGTTCGGACAAGAAAAAAATTAGAGCAGTATTTTTGTTTTGGTTATTGATTTTTCACTTGATCCGAAATGTGCGTGAACCAGTGCGTTTTGCCGCTTGTCGCAAAGGCATACCGTGTCAACCCACACGGTTTACCCCGTATTCTTGTGCAGGGAAATTGAGTTTTCAGGTCCACACGGCGGACAGCCGTTTCAATAGGGGAAAACATGTTTTTGTCTATTTGTTTGTGTTTCTCCCTTGTGATGGGACTTCGTAGGATGCACTTTGTGATTTATAAAGGCACGGGGTGACCAACAAGGTCTGAATTAGTCTGTAATAAGGCAGGCACTGATAAGGGGTTGACAGGTATGCAAAGGTTGTTCGCTATTCGCGCCCAGCGGCTGCCCTGTTTCATTCCGAGGGTGCGTTAACTGCCAAGGCGTGCCATCTGCTTCACAGTGGACGTTAAAGATCCCGGAGTGTTAATCAAAAAAAGTGCCAATAATAAGGTTTTTTGGGTTAGATCACCACCCGATGCAGCCAATTAGTAAGATTTGTCACGTAAACAATTTTTTTTTTATTTAAAGCTTTCGTGACTGCAGGGATTCATCTTCTTGGTTCTTTCGGTAAAGTCACGTAGAACGGAAATAATATAGTAATAATAAAAAACATAATAAAATATAATTATCACGACGTTTCGGTCACAATGCAAGCAGCCGTCCTCAGGTGAAGAACAGGGCTGTCGGAAAGACAGCGTGGAGCTGGTTGAGACTGCGGACGCTGTCTTTCCGACAGCCCTGTTCTTCACCTGAGGACGGCTGCTTGCGTTGTGGCCGAAACGTCGTGAGAATTTTATTTTATGATGTTTTATTTTTATTCATTTTTTATTTCCCTTCTACGTGACTTTACCGAAAGAACCAAGAAGATAAACAAAACATGCCAATTCGTTGCTTGTACAGCACACCGGTATGTTGGAGAGCAAAGCCACAACATTTACAATTCGAGTACGACGTTTCGCCAGTAATTACAACCAGCCTCATCATGCGACAGCCAGATTTGTGGATGAATCCTTCTGTTCCGTTCTGAAATAGAGAGATACACGTGATGTCGTCACCTGTGAGACAATCAGGCACGCATGTGCCAAATTAGATTACTCTGTTTTTTTCTTCTTGGTTCTTTCGGTAAAGTCGCGTAGAAGGGAAGTAATAAAATAATAAAAAATAAAATAAAACATAATAAAATAATTCTCACGACGTTTCGGCCACAACGCAAGCAGCCGTCCTCAGGTGAAGACCAGGTCTGTCGGGGAGACAGCGTCTGTTTTTACTGAATTGGAAAAGCCACAGAG